AGAGTTTCGTGCTTTTGTTTCTTCCGTAACCTAGCTGTCCCCCTTGTTAGTTCCATTTTTTTTTTCTAATCTCTCTCTCTCTCTGTGAGATGATCGTTCATGTAGTTTCTTTTTCCCTCTATAATGCATTTATGTTTCTTAAAGAATAGAATGTCAAATTGTTAAAAGGGGAGGATTGGAGGAAATTGGACAGGTCATAGCACAAAGAAACGGTAAAAAGCAAAGTTTTTTTATGCAGGTACAGTACCAAGATGAGAAAACCTTCCAAGGGATGCAAGGAGAGAGATGTGAATTACCACCGGAATGGTCACACAGATGACCATGGCAAGCATTTCTTCAAGATGTTGATTGGTGATTTCCATAAAAGATTGGTGAGCAATTTTCTTGCACACTGTGTTTCCGCCTATTCAACTTGTGGAATACTGGAATGTGGTCATTATCATCTAAGAAGTGAAGTGAAGTAAGCTGCATCTGCACCAAAAACGCGGCATCCGTTTTGGGCACCAGACTTTTGGCAGCCTGTGGTGACCAAATGAACTGGCGAGCTGTGGCTGCATTGCGGCACGCCGTAAATCCAGCGACGAACCAAACGGTGACCGAAGCTTGGGCGTGAGAGTTGTGGAGAGCTATGGCACGGCGCGGCCGCTATTCAAACACACCCTAACTTTTGTTACTAATTCAATACTGTGGACTGTGGTATTGTTTCCAATTAATATTAGCATGTTGTCCCTAAGATTACTAATCAATGTAAAGATCTATGTTGGTAGCCATGAATGGAATAGCATCACTTACAAGACTATATTGGCAATTTTATTTTAGAGCAATCAAGAATCAATTTAGTGTTTCATCATATGATGGTGTGCATCACTTGTTTAAAGATAATTAGCTGTGATTGTATCAACCAACTTGCAATATAGCGATATAGAATTTATATAGTTCCCTTACCTCATCTGAACTTTGTTCTGCGTTAATCTTGCTGCCGCAGGTCATACCGGGTAAATTTGCTAAATATTTCGGAGACAAAATAGAAGAAAGTATTACTCTTAAATCACTTGGCGGTTATACTTTTGATGTTCAAGTTGCAAAGAATATGGGCAGAATAGTGCTTTAATCTGGGTGGAAGTCATTTGTTAGTGTCCATGACTTGAAAAAGATGGACTTCTTGGTATTCAAGTATGATGGGATGTCTCGAATGAAGGTTCTGATATTTTATCCTAGTGGTTGTGAGAAAGTACCACCATGTTTTGTCACGAAAAATGCTATTAGTGGTGGATGGAAGAGAGAAGAACCCATTGACATTTCAAGCAGCTATGCTAATCTTCCCATGAGAACACCAGAAACTAAAAAGAAAGCATTGAAGCAAAGGGACAGGAGTAGGATCAGTATCAGTTCATCAAGATCCCTATCCATCCCATCAGGTTGAGTCACAATGACATCAAACCTAGTAGCATCTATGCATATCAACAAGATCATGACATCATTATTTTGTTTGGTCATAGGAGGAATGACATCTTTAGAGGGTGATGAAGCATATTCTGTTCCGAGTTACATGCTCCCACGAGGCACCAGCCTTGATAGTATGCAAAAGAAGAAACTGAAAGAGAGACTCCTAGCTATTTGTTCTGAAATCCCCATCTATGTGTGTGTCGAGAAGAAGTCAAACATTTCTGGAAGATCTCAAGCTATGGTGAGTTAGATTTTTCTCTTTTTTTTGTTCCAGATTGTTATTAATATTGCATTTCAATTGCACGTCCTTCAGCAAGCAGGTTGTTTAGCTTCCTAGACTCCTTAAAGAAATTTACAAGCTAAGTTCGATGGAAAACTTCAACTGTTTTGACTTTCAAACACTGAAAACCCTTTCCCTCTATAACCAGGAATTCTCCAGAAAATACTCTAATATATGTCTTCCATTGGAGAGCAGAGTGTTGATTCTTCAGTGTCATGGCAAGAGTTGGGAAGTGATTTGCCGCATTCAGGTTCCAAAAGCTCAACACAAAGTTAAAAGGCTTCCAAAGGGTGGGCACGGTTTGCACGTGACAACAATTTGCAGCTGGGAGATATCTGCCTCTTTAAGCCACTGAAGACCAAGAAGTACATGATGAATGTGTGTATCATTCGCAAAGAGTAAGATTTAGGAAGTGCTTTCTGCTGCTGTTTTCGACTTGTATTTTTGGGTTTGATAAGAGTCGCTTATGGTCATGTGTGTCAGCCGTTGGTGCCAACTTTTGTAGTAGTGATATTAAAGCTTTTATGCTTGGCAAGGGTATAGCTTACTATGTTTTGTTAGATAAGGGAACAAAGTGATACAACTTACTCTATTGAGTGTTGAACAATATAATCTATGGTCTATCCATCCCCTGATTAGTTGACTCCGCCGTGTGGGCTGTGTGGTACATCTATCGAGTGCGTCGTGTGGGCTGCACGAACGATCATGCGCTAGGCAACGATAATGGTCTTGTGAGCAGTGGGCACGGCGTAGGTGCGGCGGCGGGCGCGCGCGGCGGGCAGGCACGGCGGGTGCGTGCGGGCAGGAGGGTGGGCAGGGCGTGGCGTGGCAGGACTGGGCCACGAGCCTTTAGCCAACTCTGCCGCACCACCGATCAGGGCATGTCAGTGCCACGCCAATATCGGTGGCGCGGCAGACCCTGCCACGTCACCGGTTGTCGCCCGGTCGTCGCCATGTCATCCCTCTCGTCACGCCACCATGCATGGCGCGGCACAGGCGTTAAGCCGCGCCAGGAAAATAGGCGCGGACAAAAGTGTTAATTTTGGAAAAAAAATTAAACAGTGTTAGATTTAAAATTAGTTTACAAAAAGTGTTAAAAATAAAAAAAAATCGACAAGGAGATCTTCATGTTGGTGGAGCCCGCGACGCCGGTGCGGCAGCACGGAGGGGATGCCATGCCCGGGACTCGCCAGGACAATGGTGCACTGGCCGAATGTTGTCGTTGCGTTAGCACGGGCACTATACTAGTTGAGCTAAAGACAAGAGAACAGCAGGAGCCGACGCGGCCTCACAATGGCCACGTCGATGAATCGAATGAGGGCTGTCTAAATTTGGAGATCGACGGTCCTACTATTTCCTTCCATATCGTATATATACAGGCTTCAACCTTCCCATCCCCATTTGCACCCGCCTCTCCTCCCTTTCCCTCCTCACTCAGCAGCGGCGACTAGGGTAGGCACCGGCGAGGGAGGCCCGAGCCCCGGCAAGGGCGGCCAGGTGCGGCGGCGCAAGGGGCCCCGGCGTGGGTGGCCCCCGGTGCGAGCGGCGATGAGAGGGGCCCAAGCGTGGCCGCCCTAGTGCGAGCAACGTCACGAGGGGCTCAGCGTGAGCCGCCCCCGACGCGGCGGCCTTTTGGATGGCCCCAACTAGAGGGCGTCGTGCGCGGCGTCCCCAGTGAGGGTGCCCTCCGTTTGGGCGGCCCCTGGTGTGGCAGCCCACCACGGGCTAGCTCCGGCGCGGTGCCCCGACCATGGCCCCGGCTGCTTGTCGTGCTACATCTGCTCCGGCGATACTTGGCCGGATCCATGGGCTGCGTGGTCGGATCTGTCGTCTAGGTGAGGTTTTTCAACTGCAGCTGACTCCTGTCAAGTGTTTATCTTGCTGTTCATCCTATTTGCCCTGTACTGATGTTATGGCTGGATGGATGTCCAATAGGTTTACCTGTGGGCTATGCAAACAGCGCTGCAGAAGGCAGAAAAATTGTGCTGCAGAAGCTGAGTTCAAGATATGCAATTTCATGTTTGTTGTTTGCTTCCACTTAGGCATTGACAAGGAAGAAGGTGCTTAGTAGCTCCGACTGTACTGCCAAAATTTAGATGGATGAATGATATAAAGCATTTATGTCAGCAAGGTATTTATGTGTGTCCTTCCTTTTTTTCTTTGGACTAACTCCCAATGAATTTCATTGTCACCATAATTCCTATGTATGGCTCATAGTTTTGTAAACTAATAATGGCTTGCAGTTAATGTTCAAAGTAAAGGGATGGACTCCATGTCCTTGATATTTCAACAATCTAGAATTTCCTTAGGTTTGTTCAATAGATTTACATTACCTTTTTGGACCCTATATATAGTTCCCTTCGATTTTAGATCTTGTATGGTTTGTAACAGGCTTCTCCATGACTTTGTTAACTTTGACCAAAATTATAGGAAGAATAGTATTTATGATATCAAATTAATATCATTGGATATAGTATGAAATATATTTTCATAATTCACATCTTTGATCAGGTACATATTAGTATCATGTAAATTTGGTCTAGATTTTCTTAGTTTCACTATTTCTAGACAGAGCGAGTACCTAAGTACTTACAAATCTTTGCTTCCTAATTCCAGATATCCACCAGTAGATGATTGTTCTGTGTGGAAGTGTCTCCAGTCCAGAAGTGTGTTGAGACCAATCCTACTACTACCGACTTGTGGCATATAGGCAACCGCATGTTCTTTTGCTCAAGACACCACAGCCAGCCGGCCTAGCCCACAGAACAGTTGTGCCCATCTAAACATATCCAATTGCCTAGAGAAAAAAAGAACTTCGTCCCATGTTTGCACGGCTCCAGCATCATATATCTTAGCCGATTTCACATAAGACCTCTTATTGGAACAAATGAATCTTTTAGTAGTATATGTATATAAAAAAGTTACCTCTGAGCTTCCATGTTCAGCGATTGGCGCTGCTATGAGAGACCGTTCTATGTAGAATATATGTACTGCTTAGACATCTAATGTGCCAGTGTAGGCCTGCCTCGTGTAAGACTAAGTGCTATTTGAACACTCTTTGTGTCTGTATAATATATATGTGCTGTTTTGACACCTTTTGGCTAGCAGCTGTCTTAGAATACATTGCTGGACTACCTGTTAACCGAAAGGTGGAGGCAAATGCATATCGTGTTTATTATCTATCAGTGCTGCTCCATTGTCCACGTACAAGCATGGCTAGTAACTTGTGCGCATGGACGCGCGCAAATCACTAGTGAACAAACTAGTAGCCGCGTTACATCTTTCCAACCAAGGGATCCAGGACAGATATCCAGTACTTGTATTCGAGAGGAGAACCCGAATCGTTGATTGGTATGCCATTCACAAAGAAGTAGGGTGTCCCGGTCACACCTCGTGCACAGCCGTTCTACATGAACAAAAAAAAAAGAGAAAAACATTACACCAAGCTAAAACAATGTGACCTTATTTAATTTGTTTTTTTATGCTTTGCAAAAGTATAAATGTATATACTATCTACCACAGCGATGGTAGTAATTTTTCTCACCTTGAAAGATATCCTTGTGGCCATATCAGATTTTGAATCGTTAAAACCTGCTGTGTATGCCGCCAAATTAGTTTCACCGATGATTGGCGCGACAAGGTTCTTGGTTATTTCGTTAACTACAGTAGCTCTTGATTTCTCGTACGTTGGCAGATTATAGTAACCTTCCTGCAAATTGATTGATTGCATGATGCAATTGTTATTCATCAAGGATTGTGAGAATACTGCAGGCAATTTTAAATAAATTTCAGTATATATGTTTGGGAGTGTAAACAACACATCTATTTTTATAAGGTCTGCACTTATTAACTTATTTTTCAGTTTAAGTTAGAAAAATGATTCCATATCTTAGCAGAATACATGTTTAAGGCCCACACATTTGAAAGCTGTGAATCCAAGACAACTATCAAGATATTTGACGTAATATCACGATCTTTTAACTCTCTTCGTTCCAAATTATACATTATTTTTTGCCTTTATATAAGTATAGCTTTGCTATGCACGTATATATATCTAAATATCTACGTCATATCTATAGATACATAGAAAAACTACTCCGTATATATCTAGAAAAAAATAAAATAATCAATAATTTGAAATGGAGGAGTAGAAGTTATTATGTGTTCATGAATCGATGACTATACTGAGTTAGAGACACAACCTGGTCCTTGAAGAATTTCTCGAGCAGAGGGTACACGAACGACGGATTTAGCTTGTTCACGGCATGAATTGACCGGCACGCAATGAAGGCATAGCTGTGGTAACTGCACATTTAACACAGTCAATTTTTAGTTTTTTTTTTGGTAAAGCTCAGCGCTCAAATTTTGAATGCAACATCTATTAGTATTTTTGCATTATTTATGCTCTTCTAATGTATGTTTATGCTACCTTCCATCTTGGCCTATTGGGACAAACAAAACATAATTGTGCTATTTGTTTGCTAGCACTTCTAAATCTCGTTGGAAAAACAACTTATACTAGTAGTCAAAATCGATTTCTACTAGCAGTCCAGTCAGCTGCGAGTGCAATGCAAAACCACCAGTAGAATTCGATTTCGAAAGCAGTGTGAGAAAATAGGGAAAATAACTTTTTGCGCCAACGCCGTGCCACCGAAGAACTTAGTGGTCACGCTCGCACGTCAGAATTCAGGCCAATATATACTGGTTTGTTTTCGAGGATTCGAACCCATAAAACCGTAACCTCCCTCCTTCACATGAGGCATTTTTACCATTTCACTACATTTTTTTTTCTAGCAACATAAGAACCATACTTCTGAACTTTTTGTAGACTATTTTACAGGGGCGAATCCAGCCACAAAGTTCACCGGGGTGATCACATTTATATAGTGGGGTCATCGGCATGGATTGTGATAAACAGTAATTCTCCACTAATTTTGCCGAAGTCATCGGGTCAGATGACCTCGGTAACATAGGCTAGATTCGCCCCTGCTATTTTAAGTGGCAGTTTGTTAAGTAACCTCCTCTAAAAACCATTTCCTAAAATTGTAGTTTTTATTTTAAAAATATATCTAAGAATGTCTATGTAATATTTGGCCAACTACAAAGTTGTATATTTTGTTCAGCTCTACAATTGTGATATAAGTTTCATATGAAAAAGTTATTAATTTTATCTAGAAATGGATCTATGCATTAGGCGGTTGCTTAAGAGAATCCTAACTAGAAATGAATTTATAGCAGTGGTTTTCTTAAGTAGCCACTGTTAATATGCATTTCTACATGCGGATACTTAAGCATTAGAGACAATTTCTAGTGGCGATTATTGGCCATGGCCCCACCTAGTTTACAGCACAGGCAGAACCAATCATTAATCAATGAAAAATTATAAGGGTCTGAGTCAAATGCTTTTTGTGGTAGTGTATATTTATATTTGTATACTGTTTGGATTTCAAATGAAAACGTGACAAAAGTAGCTATTATTAGTTGGGATGATTATAATTTGTGGTGGCCTGGAAATGAAAGTAAGATAAGCAAATCATGGAATCTCTTATTAGGTGAAGGATGCTTTCTCTCTGTTTTTTTTTAATAAAGTGTATTCTGTTCAACAAAAGCAAAATCACTTACTCTCTCATTTTCTTTGTGCCTATAATAATGACATTGGGCCTGGTGAAGTGACCCATACCAAGAAGCCCAAAAGAGCGTTATGTTGTGGGGCGTTTATTTTTCAATTTCTTATCAGCAAGTCCCACTTCCTAACTGCCAACTTTGCTGTTTGATAAATTAGATGAATCACATATTTTTTCTTTACCTTTTTTATGACGGAAATTCTATGGTGAGGGCGTTCGTCAAGGCATTTCCGTCGGGATGGCCTGTTCTAGGGCCTATGCAGCCATCGGGCCCAACAGGTCTACTCCGCTCCACTTTAAGTGTTTCACGGTTTCTCGAAAAGACAATGACATTTCCTTTCCCCACTTGACGCATGCGACCGCCGCGCCGCTCGCTCGCGGCTCGCCTTCTTCGGCCTCCGCGGCCTTTCTCTAGCGTGGGTGCACCGCACCCGGCTCCATCCCGCGCTCCTCCGCACCCCGCACCGTGCCCCCATCCACCTCGTGCCATCGCTGCCATCGCTTGCACCGCGGCCGGCCGAAGACACCGTGGCAGGAAGGGTAGACCTACGCCTGCGCCCGAGTGTACGCTGGGCAGCTCTCAACGTCCCCCTGACCAGAGCTTGCTGCCTATCGTAGTTCCCTACTAGGTAGGCCACGGTAGCCGGCAACGCTGTCTTTCAGGAGTTTCAGATTTATGTTTCAAATGTTTCATTTGGATGTTGCAAAAGTAGATCTTGGATGTTGCATATGTTGCAATTACAATATGTATGTTGTAAGCCTATGTTTCAAGTGTTTCAGGTGTTTTCAAATGTATGTTTTAAGTGTTCCTTGTGGATATTGCATATGTTGCTATGGCTCTACTCGCATGTTTCAAGCGTGTGTTTCATACTTATGTTGCAAGTGTTTCATCTGGATGTTGCATATGTTGCTGTGCCTATACACACATGTTTTAAGTGCTTCATCTATTTCAGACGTATGTTGCAAATATTTCATCTGTTTATTTCAAAAGTTAATCGGGGTGTTGCACGGCGCTGGTGACTGACGGAGAACGGCCTGCCGCAGCCACTATTGTTGTTGCTGGGGCACAGTTGTGGGCCAACCCACGTGGGTTCCCTAGTCTAGGCACGGGGGTGCGGTCCTACGACGGACGTGGGCGCTGGCGGGATGCGGACGCGACGTGGGTTCCCCGAGCGAGCGCAGGGTGGGCGTGGGGGCGTGGTCCTGCGATGGACGCGGGCGCAGGGCGGGATGCAGAGCAGGGGCGTAGGGCGGTATGTGGACGCGTGGCATGGGACGGGATGTGGGTAGGGGAGTTGCGTTGGACACGACATCCCGTCCAGACGTTGAGGCGCTACCTCTTTCTTTTTTATGATTTTTTAGGTATAAATAGCCGAATAGGTGCATGTGTCTTCTTTAACGGCAAATATCGCTTTGGAGAACTCCCTTCTCTAGGCGTCTGTTGCAGCGTGTGGAGTGGCCTTGTCTTTGCAGTGGAAAGCTAGTGGGTTCCTTTGGTTGCTGTCAGTACGTGAATTGGTGTTGTGTTTATGTGCTGCATATGTTTTTTTATTTCACTTTATCTATTAACATATAGACAAGACTTGGCTCAAAAAATATATAGACAAGACAGTTAACTCGCCGGCTTATATTCAAAAAATATACAACCAAGTCAGTCTACGGGGACAGAGACTGCTGGGAGCCAATTCAAGCGTCACCAGACTGAGGGCAAATAGGTCTTTTAGGTTCTTAGAGAAACTGACATGGTCTGACGAGTCAAATATGCTTTGTTGATTGGATGGAATCAAGAAAGCAGACATGAGGCAAGATAAATGGCTACAAAAGATAAGTCACAATGTTTATCCATAATGAATGGCTCCATATGGTGTTAAAAGTACTCCCTTTCAGGCTTTTTCAGCCATAAATACTTGACAGCATTGACTTTCTATTATTTATGAGTTTTTCTATTTTATTAACTACTATTTTTATTATTAGAATATGCATATAATATCTATTCCCTCCTCTATAAAAAGTAGATCATTTTAATTTTCTTAAGTAAAGTTCTAGAATTTTAACCAGGGTTAACCATAAAATTATTTTTTATCAAGTCTACTATAAAATATGTCTTGATAGTGCATTATTATATGGTATTGTAGATGCTAAATTTAAAAATTCAGAATTTTTTTATCTTATGATATCATAAGATAATTTTTTTTTCTGAATTTTGGAACTATTTTAGAACGTAATAGCATACATGAGATCAAGAACCAAGAAATCTTCAAACATATATAAATTTTAGGTTCCCAAACTAAGTAGTCTAAAAACTATTTACTGTCAAGGTTCCACAGTTTGATCACATTAATTTGGCCAAAACGTAAGCCTGTGACTAGAGATCCAGTACTTTATGTCGGGTGTACCTTTCATGCAGAAGATGAGCACTTCTCCGACAAATATAATTGATTATTACGTTTTCTACGGAAAATATACGGTGAAAACCATGTATATCTTCAGTAGGAATAAGAAAACTAATTTAAAAACATATTTCTATAACTCAAATTTTTTTGAAACTCGGTACATCCATATATGTACTCAACCAAAAATGTTGATATTCAAAATAATTTTTGAAAATTTTGATATGGAAATGACAAAATTCATGTGTTTACACAGTAGACAAAAATCTAGAATTTTTATCTTGTAGTGCACGTACAAGTGGAATTTATCATTTTTGTATGATTTTTTCAAAAAGAGGTTTGAATCCTAACTTTTGCATGTGACTACATATATGGATGAACTATATATGTGTCAACTTTAAAAATTTTCAAGTTAGAAAAGTGTAACTTTAAAAGTAAATTTTATATTTCCACTGAAGATATATATGAAATATTTTTTTCCGTTTTCTAAGTATGCACATAGACAAAACATAAAAGCATTAGGATATGATACACAAATACTTCTCAACAAATCTATATGTATGTGCCCGTGTTCGTAGATATGAGTGTGTATGTATATATGAGTATGTATCAGTACTGTGATAAAAAAAAGAAACATAACCGTCGTGCAAACAAACCTGAATAGTGCAACAATCATTAATAGTTTAGTGGTCAGTGATATGTTTCGGAACTGTGGTTAGCTCTCTGCGCACTATCTGAAAGGAGTTCTATTTAAAAGTACGCAAAACATCAAACAATACCTGCATAGCCATGAATGAGTAAATTTCAAGAAAGGAAAGGAAAAGAGAAAAGCAACGACGACAGGAATCAAGTTGCATCACTCACGGCAGCGGGAAGAGGTGAACGACGACGGACACACGCGAGCTATAGTGCTCGACGACCTTCTTCAGCGCCGGCCAGGCGTCGCGGCTGTCGGGGCACACGGGGTCCAAGAACGCCTCCACCACCACCGTCTCGCCCCACGCCGGCGGCTTCCCGCCGTACACGAACCCGTCTATCCTCGCCGGGATCGGGATCTGAGCGCGGCAGCCGCCCCAGCAGGCACAGCACCCGATGATGATCACCACCAGTGGCAGAAGTGAGACGCGGTGGCTGCTAACCTCCATTTCAGCTAGCTTCGTTTCTTTACTTCTCTGTAAGCTGCTTGGCCTCTTGAGTTAATTTATATAATGCTAAGTGGAATCTCTTGAGGCTAGAGCATCATCAGGCACAGAAATGAGTGAAGCTGAGCTGCGAGGCACTTCGCCGAAAGTGAAGTAGGTGATGACGGCTACCTCTCAACGACTTCATGGGCATATGTAGATGTATCCTGATCCTGGTGGAGAAGGTGCTTGCCTGGGCCGGCACAGCTGATGACGTCATAAGGATGTTAACATGGTGGAATGGTCAAGCCGAATTAGACTATGTACATAGTATGCATGAATGATTTCGCGTGAGATGTAGTATAATTCTCATGAGCTTGATTTTTAATTTCTTGATAGATTCAAATTAAATGATTCCGGATAATTTGTGATTTTTACATATGTTGTAGATGAAATTCAGTGAAAGACTGTTACGAGCTCTCTTGTGTGTCCCATGTGTACATCTGTGTCGTTGAGCACGGAGATAAAACATTACTTGTATCTATTCAAAATTGGTAATTAAAAAAAATTCTTGCACTATGCTTCTGATCATGATGAAATTGAAATTCCTATCTCTATCTATCCTACTTCCTATATTATTATTGTAATAGTTATTATTATTACTGATTTTATTATGGTTGGAAAAAAGGAGGATAGTTGGTGAGAAGAAATCTAGTGGCTAGAAATTAGAGGTACCAAACAAAAAGTACTGGAAGGTACCAAATGAGTACCGAATTGGTGCGATCAGTACAAAAATTAGGGCCATTATCATTATTTTTTATAGTTTTTATTATTTAACTATGGGTAAACTAGTAAATTTACACTGTACGAATAATTGATAGAATAGAGAGTGTTCTTCTGTTCGTCTCCTTTTCCCCACCCCAACCCAACCCAACCTAACTCTCCACGATGAACACACACTGAGCACCACGTCCGCCTGGTCGCTACCGCCGGAGATGAAGTCCACACTGCAGTGCCCGTGCACCTTGGGTCATCATCCCATCCCACCCCTACTCTACATGACACATATTGCTTGAAGACGGGATCCGCCTCCACTGGCCCACCACCATGGAGATTTCGTAGAGATCCAGCACCATCGGTGCCCGTTGGCGTGAGGATGAAACCTAGCGTGAACAAGTGATGAAGGCATCTATGGAGGTGGTGAGTTCCACGATGGCGACGCTTCAGTGTCGGGTGGTGTGTGGCTCTAACTCTAGCATGGGGATGGAGTAGGACGACGATATGATCGACTTGTGTTCGAGCAAGGGTGTGGAGGAGGAAGGAGAGCATGAGCTGCACCGGAGTCGGTGGGGACTGTGAAGGGTAGCCGCAGCCTCCTTTGGTCTGGTGGATGCTGGATAGAGGATGACGATGAAGAGTAGGTGGTGGCGAGGTTGACGACGTGAGTTGGCCATCATGGGGCCATTGGGTGGCGGAGATTGAAAGTCCCAATTTGGTTTTGGTAATTGAATGACAACCTTTGGTGGACTCATAAGTTTCATGTGAGATAAACATGTATTTAGTTCGAAGATACACTACTGTGAGCAAGACATAAAGCCATGGTGAAGAGATGGCTTGTGCATGATGCAAGTGCTCAACTAGTGAAGTTCAATAAGCTCATTGAATTTGAGACATGACAAAGTCTAATGTGGCTAGGTGGAGAAGATCAAGAGGCAAGGCGAGGCTTGGCTACGAAGGACCGGGTTGCAACTATGTGAAGGGAAAGCTAGAGGCTCGGGTGCGATGGACCATTGAGGCAATCAAGCGCAAGTAGAGAGCATGGCACCGATGGTCTCAGGCTATGGTGAAGAGCAAGTGAGGCTACGATTGATGAACTAATAAGGCCATGTGAAGCTATGAAGTGAATCATATCATTCATGGAAGATCAAGCCAACTATTAATTTGCATTGACGATGAAGTGGCTTGACCGAGAATGATGGAGGAGCTTCATGCTATGGGGAATGGTCAAGGTAGCGTGGTTGGATGTTGACGGTGAAAATGTCACAAATATACACACTCAAAACACCGTCAACAGCCTCGGAATAAAAGGAAGAATAGCATAACATGAGCATATTTTTATCAATAAGAAGTTCCACTTGTACTTGAGGTATTTTTATGCAGAACTTAGCAAACAGGAGAAATCTGAGCCTATGGGCACACCATAAGGGGGGTCAGCCGACCTACCCTATTGGGCCCACAACCCCTCCAAGCTGGCATGATCCATGTCAAAGGCTCCAAAGCAATCTAACTCCATTTGATCAACTTGTGTTTCTTCTCGACGGCTCACATTCAATTCACAAGGATCCATGGACCCACATTCAAGGAAAACTAACGTGACAACCAAATACCAATCATCAAATGAACACTATAATGAGTGGGCCATGCTTCTAGAAGGTGGAGAGAGGTCCTACCTATCATTGGGGGGGTTCAGCCGACCCCCTGTCAACCGACCTGCCATATGGGCCCAAGGACCTCCACCGACCTCCAGCATGTCGCCATGCACCTCAATGATCTTCACCCTTGTTGTTATGGCAGTTTGATCCAAGAGCCATGGTGAAGAGGCACACAGATCGCTGATGTGGTATTGGAGTAGCCCCTACTCCACCTCCACCTATAAGAGGAGGCTCATACCACCATCTCAATTGATGCTTTCAAGCTCAAGTGAAGTAGTGTAGTTCCATTTCATCTTAGTGTAGTATAGTCTAGTGTGGGAGTTAGAGTTGAGTCGAGCTTGCTCGGGGTTTCAGGAGCTGTCTTCTGGAGAGTGTGGTATAGCTCTTATACCTTTCCCTTTTTAGTAAGTCTTTTAATCTATTTAATATAGTTCTATTATTTCTCTACTTTACTTAGTCTTTACTTTATGCAATAGTATACTTGTTATAGTATTGTTGTGACTTAGCTTAGCATATAGTTGTTATATACTAGATTGTGATCCTATAACCACACTTGTATGCGATTATCGCATGTCATAGGGTGCTGCAATTGATCTGTGCGTGCGTAATTAGAGTAGTTAGAGAAGGTGTAAGCGTGGTGCTTATACACTATCTTGCCTTTGGTTATCGCTGTCGCACAGATTGTTTGTGGTAGCTAGCAAGTGGTGACAGCCTTGTCTAGTCTATGTATTCCACCACATGTTGTTAGACAAGTTCTTAAAAGGTAAGGCCTCTATAAAAAGGTAGCCACTTCAGGTATGAGTTATATCTCCTATTGTCTCGCCTACTGCCTAGCATACATGTTGTAAGGTATCAATTTCTATGTTTCAGTTGTGTGATTAAGAAGTTAAGATCATAGAAGTAGAGTTCGAATCATAAGAAACCTTTACTCTCTGGTTGTCCTCCCACCTAGCTCTACCTTACTAATTATCTTTAGCTATCTTTATCTTGACTTGTAGTATCACCCCTTCCTATCATATTTCGATTACCCCCTTGCACTAATTGATACTAAGTTTAGGTAAACATAAGGATCTCTCATTTATTATTTCCTAGCTACCGCTTTCCCTTTGGATAAAATAAATAATGATACCTTAGAATACTCCCGAGTGAAGTGCTGCAACTGTATATTCTTTGCGCTTGTGGAGTTATCCAATAGACATAAGAAATACCAACAAGCATCAGCCAAGGAATTTTAATAAATTTGGATCTTGAGTTTGCCATCAATTTAGTTATCAATTAGTAGTTTTAGGGGCTTACCCTTGCCTTTGTTTCTCTTTTTCATGAAGCAAGGCATTGCATGAGCGGTTTCTAATTACCAAGCTATTTCATCGAAAATCCTGAAAAGCTTTTGAGGAGTTCTAGACACCATCTAGTGCCCCCTCAAAAGTTTATCTCGGATTTATTCGTTTGAGGAAGGAGGCTACGCACCATCACTTAAGGAAGCTATGGCTTAGAAAATAGTCTCTGACTTTTCAGCCCCGTTCGCTGCCAATGTGGCCACGGGACACCAAGTCAACTTGGGGGATGCCACTTTTGAGCTCAAGCCCATGCTAATCAACATGGTGCAAGCCAACCCATTTTGTGGGATGCCCCATGAGGACACAAATGCACACCTACAACACTTCATGTGGGACCTTCACCATCAAATGGGTGTCGTCTGACGCCATCCACCTTCGCCTTTTCACATTCTCATTGCTCGGGAAGGTGAAGTAATGGTTCTATGCTAATCGTGAGGAGACCACTACCTAGGATAGATGCGCCAATCCATTCCTCAAGTTCTTCCCAATGGGTAGGACCAATGTCCTTCGTGGAAGAATTTCAAGCTTCCAACAATAGGCAGATGAGATGATTCCCGAAGCATGGGAACATCTCTAGTCATTCGTGCTTGTCCTCATCATGGGGAATAAAGGATGGCTCATAATCCAAGGTTTCTACCGTGGGCTGGCCAACATGGCCCATAGTCACCAGGATGTTGCCGCTAGAGGAGCGTTCTTTTCACTCACTATGAAAGATGCAAGAGATCTCATCAAGAAGATGGTAACCAATCAAGGGTGGAATGATGAATGCATCCAACCAAAGAAGAGAGGTGTGCACACCATTCATGAGGTGGACATACTCTCTGCCAAAATGGATCTTGTTGATGTTGGAGGGTGTCTGAATCACACACTAGTAGGGGATAGCACACCCAAGCGGTTGCAAACAACCTAGATAGCAGCAAGAACATAACATGATCAACAAAACCGATCTAGAGACCGGTTAGGCTGATATTGAGCCCGTTCTTGGACTGATAGACTCCTGAACTTCTCCCGGGAAGACCCATGGGGAGGAGCACATGGAGGATGTCCTTAGACCAGCAAGGCCACCTAAAACACCATCGAATCTCGCTGGGAGATGTGACAAACAGTAGGAGGGGTTGGAAAAAAGGGCAAAGCATGTAGTAGATTGATTTTTGATCGATTAGATAGATGGGAACTCAATCAGGCTTGATCCTCTCATATATATAGAGGGGGGTGGTCTTATCCCAGTAGGAAACAAATCCAAAACATGTTCTCC